GCTTTAACTTTATACATGCTTTAAGATTAAATGGAAAGGTCTTGGATTCTCTTATGTATTTATGTATTAGAATAGAATAGAATAGAATAGAATAGAATAGAACAGAACAGAACAGAATAGAATAGAATAGAATAGAATAGAATAGAATAGAATAGAATAGAATAGAATAGAATAGAATAGAATAGAACAGAATAGAAGAATAGAAACAGCCTTTATTGTCCCACGGATGGGAAATTCCAGTGTATCAGCAGCAACAGCAGCAACAGATAATAATATAAAAAGATTTAAAGATTTCACACAAAAGTTCCTAAAATGTTAATAAACAATACAATTTATAAGAAATAAGATAAACAATATCAATAATAATGTTCAATAAGTATTGGAACATTGAGAATGGCAGATTATTTACAGTACAGTAAATATTATACATTACTATTACATTACATATTATACATATTATTACATTACATATATTACTTTTATTAAAAGATTGCCATGTTTATCACCTGCCACCAAAAGGCAAAGGCATGTGATAAATGTTTTAGCCCATGTTTGGGTGTGAGTTTACCAAAGTATCTTTTGTATCACTAGACACATTTTTATTAATTAACACAAAGCATTCATTAGATGCACATCTACCAGTGACTATTTTTTGAAGTCAACCTGATAAATGACTACTACAATAAATAGACCCTAAAATGCTAAATTGTCTCTAACTCAATAGGTCAGTTTCATAGGTATTTTGCAAAGAAATTGTGTAGTGTACACATAAACTCAAGAATGACTTAGTGTGAGCTTTGCCTCAAATTTAACATTAAATGTTGGAGTTTAGTCAAATCTGTTAACAAAATATTTTATAAACAACTGTAAGGATTATAATGGAATTTTTACAAAGTTGGATGTACATCAACCAACTGACTTTTGAAAATATCACAATTCAAAGATGCCTCCAAATTCAACTGACCTGAGAAAATACAAAAATGATTAAAACTCCATTGCTAGAAGTCATCCTGAACACATACTTCAAGCACTAAGGAATCATGCAATATTTCATTAGAACACAGAAATACTTGACCAGAAATGGGACATATGCTCCCTCCGGGTTGGGTTTGAGTCTTTGCCTCAGGTGGAGGAGATTAAGTATCCGAGTGTCTTGTTCACAAGTGATGGTAGAATGGAGGTGGAGATGGATTGACAGATTGGGGCCTTGTCCTCATTAATGAGGGCATTGCTTCGGTCAGTCAAAGGTGAAGAAAGAGCTCGGTCGAAAGACCAAGCTCTCAGTTTATTGGTCTGTCTACATTTTAACCCTCTACTATAGTCATGAGGTTTCAATCATGACTGAATAAATGAGATCCCACATACAAATGGATGAAATGAGCTTCCTTCATAGGGTGGCCAGACTCAGCGTTAGAGATAGGGTGAGGAGCATTGTCATCCAGGAGGAGCCTGGGGAGGAGATACTGCTCCTTTGCATTGAAAGGAGTCAGTTGAAGTGGTTTGGGCATCTGAATAAGATGCCCCCCTTTGCATGTTTTCCTGGCACATCCCACTGATAAGACCTAGGGCAGACCCAGAACTCACTGGAGGGATTGTGCATAATCTCTGGTCTGGGAGCACCTTGGGCACTCCCAGGACGGGCTGAAAAGTATCACTGGGGAGAGGGATGTCTGGGTTTCTCTCCTTGATGTGTTGCTTTTGCAACCCAACTATAGACAAGCAGTAGTAGTAGTAGACGGAGATGGAAGTATCACAGGCATACTGATTGAAGTAATTTACACAAGTGACCAAAACGGCTTTAATGTCATTTCTCAGCATTAGAAGGTCTTAGTCTAAAACTGTGGCATAAAACGCACTGGGTGATATGTATGATTGTATATGTATTTTAAGTAATGTTAGTTTTTTGTTGTTTTTTTTCCCTAGATTTTCAACTTGCTGCCTGTCAGAAAAGTAACATATACCCCTTATCAAATTCAAGACTCCACACCATGTTTACATATGAGGCCAAAGAGATATGTTCTGCCTTATCCTGGTGAAGATCAGAAAGATGCCCATAAAATTTTCCAGGTATGGTTTTAACAGCAAATGTAGAACGTGAATAAATTATTGTAAACGTCCAGGCTACTACTGGACATGGGCTGGCTACCATTTTTGAGATACAGTACACTATAGTTTTTTGAAGTCATTGTATCCAAAACCAGTCATTCTGTTCCTGCAATTGAAATTTAATGAGACTTTAGAAACAGTGTGGAGTTTTCTCCATTGATATAGACCCCAGAGTCAAATGGCTCAGCTCATAAAATAGTATTTGTGTTGTTTTAATGCAGTTAAAGCATAACTTTGCATGTTTATGTGGATTATGCAGGATGTAGGGCTGAAGGTGGCAACAAACTTGCAAATAAAAGTGCCCTCCTGCCTCAGATTTAAGGGAAGAGAATATCATTTAGGTATGCCACCATGGTAACTTTTCATTACCAGTCAAGCGTGACATGACTAATTTAATTTGATCCTGTTTGGTTTTTTACAGGTTACAGTGGGTTTGGTGTTCAGTATTCAAGAGTGAATGCAATGGCTGCGCCAGACAGAATAGCTATGAGCGGGCCTCCAGGGCTTGGAGGATCCCTCGCTCCCAGCGCTGAACCAATCGAGACAGTCCGCACTTTCTTCCCAGAGACTTGGATATGGGACCTGGTGGAAACTGGGTGAGCCTCTGCTGTACAGGAACCTACTGATCGTTAAAATGAAAAGATCTTTTTTTTTACTACATTTTCTCTTGGGGAAAAAAACACATCAGTTTTGTTGGATTCCTGTGCAAATGTAGACAAGAAAGATTTGACTAATATGTTTTAATTGATGATGATGATTTAAGAAATATTATTGCTTAAATGACTGTTTAAGAAAAATCAATTTAATCAATTTAAATGTTGATAGCTCAAAACTTAAAGGTGAAGGTGGGTGATAATGTTTGTGTGAGCTTACATTCACATGTGCATGGGTTGGTGTAACTGTTAATATGTCATGGAAAAGTGGACACATTTTAAAAAGTGCTGAAAGTAATAAACAGATGAGCATCTACAAGTAAATATATTTTTAAGTCAACCTCAGTCAAGATGGTTACCTCAGCCAACCATCATTAAAAACTCAAAAATGTCTCCTTCTCCCAGTTGGGTGGCCTTGGAGAGGGCCTCAATTAGATCTAGCACCCCCTCTGCATTACTCTGCTCTCAGCTGCCTTCAAACAGTCAGTATCAACCTACACTTCTAACCCAGTTGTGATCTGGATGGTTAAGATCTGGAATCAGTTTTCAGGAGGGCATTTAACTCTACAGAGTTACTGTTTGTGGCACCTGTATCAAATAATCCTGTTTACTCCCTCAGTATCTGATACAGCTGTTGACACCTGGGTCTTGAGGGGGGTGTGATCATGTTGTGAGCTCTATGATGATGGGAGAGTTGCCGCTTTTGAGCAGCTGGTACAGAAGTTTAATATTCACAAGTCACAGTTTTTCAGATATTTTCAGCTGAGACATTTTGTGAGGTCTAACTGATTGTTTCCCTTTTTACCCCTCTAAACATTTTGTGGTTAAGATTTTGGAATGCAGGTCTGATACCAAGGGGGCCCTTAGTAAGATCTATACACTGCTCAACTCAGACCATGAGACCAGTTTGGAATCTCTTAAATTGAAAAGGGAAATGGACCTGGAGGAACCCATATCAGACGCAGTCTGGTGAAAGATCATTCAGAACATATATTCATCCCCAATCAATCTGAGACATGCTATAATTCAATTCAAGGTGGTGCACTGGCTGCACTGGTCCAAAGACAAGCTGTCTAAGATCAAAACTGACCTCAACCCTGTATGTAATCATTATAAACAAACTCCAGCTACACTCCTGCATACATGCTGGACCTGACCCAAACTGTGGACTTTTTGGCAATTTTGACACCTCCTCTAATGATTTGTTGAAAAACTGTGCACCCATTCCCACTCATCTCCCTGTTTGGGGCGCCCCCTGTGGATAAGTCCTTCAGCAAGTAGGAGAAGGAAGTGATTGTGTTTGGCTCTCTTCAGGCCAGGAGGCTCATTGTGTGCAACTAGAAGGGCCCCCAGCCCCCAGCATGTGAACAGTGGATAAGAGAAGTAATGTATTATATTCATTTAGAAAAAATCAGATATACCCTGAAAGGTTCTGCAAAAACATTCTGGGACACCTGGCAGCCTTTTGTGTCATATGTCGAAAATATGTAAATCCCAGTATAAGACATTTATGTATGTGTAGCTGATCTGGTGTTAGTGGGGAGGGGCGTGAGTTTTTTGTTTGTTTTTCTGTTCTGTTGTTTGTGTTAATAAAAAGTCTTTGATTAAAAAAACAACAACTCAAAATTGGATGTTAGTGTAATTTACAGATACTGACCTAAAACTTTGTGTAGCTAAGACGGATGGGACATGTTTTGAGCACTAACCGTCCTTTGTTTAAAACCTTGACAATACAGTAATTATTGAGTCTGTGTCTGTTGGCAAAATATCAAGAATCACTGGACAGACTTCAATGTTTGGAGATAATCATTGGATGTATATTTATAGCTAATTAATTTTTGGAGTCATTGCCATCACATCCACTTTTTAGATAAAAGAAAACAAAAACCACATTCTTATAATTCAGTCACTTTACAAATATTCAGTTAATATTTGATGTGCTTGTCACTCTGTCTCAATTTGTAATCCAAGTGTTACTCACTGTGCAAAATCCACCCATCCATCCATCCATTTTCTTTTACCCGCTTCTTCCATTTTTGGGTCACGGGGGTCGCCGGTGCCCATGTCCAGCAATCACTGTGCGAGGGGCGGGGGACACCCTGGACAGGTCTCCAGTCCATCACAGGGACACAGAGACAAACGAGACAAACAACCATTCACTCACTCACACCTAGGGACAATTTAGAGTTACCAATCAGCCTAACATGC